CAGCCTCTTTGACTGGCCTGTTAGAGCTCTAAGTGGTTTTTTAGTAAATCCTAAATGAGGATAATAGTACTAACAGTCCATTAACTGAAGGTCCACTATATCCAGATCAAGTATCAACACTTGTAGCTGTAAATTCTGTAGGATCAAAGAGTTAATAAATTGCAGAGTGAGGATTCAATTCCTGAGCATGGAACTATGAACTCAATAAGAATCACAATTTATCTAATTAACAAGTATTGACTTAGCATCCACTGTAGGAAAAGTCTAGAGCTAGGCATTGGGAAGGATATAAAAAGTTCTACAGCCTCATTCTACTTCTCGCCAAGCTTCAGGCATGTGACACTCACTGAAGTAGTGGCTTAACATATTACATTTCCCACCATTACTGTCACTAGTACTATAACCACCACTGTCATAGCTCTGCCAGAATCACCTCTACCATCACCATTGTCAACACCAAAAAAACCTGTGAAGCATCTGTTTACATGTGGCCCTGTGACACTTCTCAGAAGTGGTACTTGGGTCACAGCTACGGCATGCTGAAGGATTAGGTGGTGCTTGAATGAAGATGAGATTGACAAACTCTACTCTTAGCTTTGAGCAGGCTGCACATGCCACTCTCCAGGGAGCTGTCAATCCAGGACAGAGCACGATGCTTGCAGAATGGGAAATGAGCTTGGTTTACATAATGTTTTACGGGGAGTTGATGGTTGAGGTGTCAATCTCCTTTTCTGAGAGCCCATCTGTGCTGATTTCTCTTCCTGATCAAAGTTCCTACCAACCTATCACAAAGGGCACCCTATTATATCAGTTGGTGTCTCACCTCTGAAACTAGAAGGGGTGCCTTGGTATGTTTAATACCAAGGCAGCATTTTAAGCCAACTGTAACTTGAAACACACACGAGACAAATCTAGAACCAGAGACATAAAAAGTGAGTCAAAGTCTACACTGGGAACTTTATATATAAACAAATTTCATGTACATGGATATACTATTCATATGTACTTATATTCGTTATGTTCCAATCACAGAACCGAAGGAGACCATGTACTCTTTCAAGCACACAAATCCTACCCTTCCTATCTCCATGTCTTAGCTTATTTCATATCTCTAGCCTGAAATGCCCTTTCTCTGGATCTGTAAATATATAAACACAATTGTTATGGGTTGAATTATATGCACCAAAAGATGCTCAAGTCCTAACCCCTAGTACTTGTCACTATGACCTTATCTGGAAATTGAGGCTTTGCAAATGTTCATGTTTAGATGAAGTCATTAGGGTGGGCCCTAACACAATATGACTGGTATCCTCATGAAAAAGGGAAATTTAGAGACAGTCGTGTGCAGAAGAAGGATGATGTGAAGACACAGGGAGAACATCATCTACGAGCCAAGGAACATGTGAGGCTATCAGAAGCTGGGAAAGACACCTGAAACAGATTGTCTCATAGCCCTCAGAAGGAACCAATCCTGTTGACACCTTGACTTGTGTCTTCCAACTTCCAGAACTGTGAGACAATCAATTGCTGCTGTTCTAAGCCAACCACTGCGTGGCAGCCCCCAGGAAACCACCACACAAATCAAATCTCAACATCTACCTGCTTCCTATGGAACATCTCTGAGTGTAGCCTGGTATTTAAAAAAACATTGAACTGTAGGTCTTTGCTGACTGACTCACTGTGTGGACCCCTGATGTATGACACTATACTAGAACCTGTGATACAAACGTGATATGGTTTTACCGTCAAGACTCTTCTAATCTTTGTGCATGACAACACATAAACTCTACGTGTACCTGTAAGGCAGGATAACATAGGTAGTAAACAGATTCAGAATGACAGGTGACAAGAAAAGAGCTATCACAGGGAGGGCTCTCTGGAGGAGCTGGTGGGCTTGTGAAGTGGCTCAGGTAGTGGTTATCTCCCTCTTGATAGCATAGGAGACCCCACTAATAATCTTGACTCTGCCTGCCTATGCTGCTTTGTCTAAGTAGCCTTGGAGGTCAGAGCAGGTGCTCAGTCTGTGGTGCTGGGATGCTGTGGACAGGCACCTGGGTAAGGTGTACTTACCTAGGAGTTACTAGGTAGTTACGGGAAGCCTAGGTAGGCTCTGTTTTGCTTCCCTTTCCAGAGACTTCTTTGGCGCTTACAGAGGATTGTGGGAAAGTTGAGCATCAGCAGTCTGGGCAGGTTCGTGTGTACAGAATGTGGAAGCTACACAACATGGCCCTTTCTTGCTTGCATTGCTGCAATAAAATCTCCCCTGGCTGGGGGAATCTGGGCTGGTAATAGAAAGTGATGTAGGCTATGGTCATCCCTCAACCTAGAGCTGAATCCCAGTGATGTTTATCATCAAGGGCTTTGAGGATCCTCAAGAATATGCCTTGTTCCCTTTCCTAGTCTCTTTACCTTGTCCCTGTCTTGTCCCCCAAACACTCAGATTTTTGATATGCCTTTATATGGCCAACTGATACCCAAACATTTGAATGCTCTTTTCTTTTCTCACTCGGCTCTGTTTTGGTAACCTGCCTGACAGATCCACTTGTGCTTTTTCCTATGCTTCATTTATTTCCTCCATTTTTAAATTTGGGCATTAATTCTAGCATTTATCCAATACTTATTAACTGATTACTTTTTTTTTTTTGAGACAGGGTCTCCTCCTGTCACCCAGGCTTGAGTGCAGTGGTGTGATCATAGTTCACTGCCACTTTAAACTCCTGGGTTCAAGTGATCCTCTTGCCTCAGCCTCCAGAATAGCTGAGACCACAGGCATCTACCAGCACAGTCAGCTAATTTTTAAATGTTTTATAGAGATGGGGTCTCACTATGTTGCCCAGGCTGGTCTTGAACCCCTGGCCTCAAGCAGTCCTCCCACTTTGGCCTCCCAAAGTGTTGGGATTACAGGCATGAGCCACTGTACTTGACCCCATTAACCGATCACTCTTTAAATCCAAAACTTTTCCTACTATCTGGTTGGAGTTGGCAGAACTATGCAGAAAATGCACATGGGAATGAAGCTGACCTGGATCTCATCCTCAGAAACTTAGAACGCCGTAGGATTCATACATCTGGACTGTGAGGTAGAGTGAGACACACATCACCAGATGGCTGCCTATTCAACATCTTGGTCAGGAAACTTTTAAGAAGCAGAAACAACAGCATTCTCAATTGGCTGGTGGTGGGGAGGTGGGGCAGGGTAGAAGGAGGAGTCTACCTTGTTGCCAGGTTTTCACCAGAAATACTGTCCACCATGGAGCGAGGCCTTGCCCTGACCTCAGTGCTAATAACTTAGGAAGCACAGGTCCAGAATAATAGCAATGTTCCCTTTGGCTGTCTGTGTCCTGAAGATGCCCCCTAGTTGACCTACCCAACAAGCCTGCCACCTCCATAAAGCCATCCTGATAATCTCAGGTAGCACTAATGGCTCCATTTTAACTTCTCCTTAGTACCTATACCATGCCTTATATTTTAGTTACATTGACTTCATCTCCTAGATATAAGTACTTGGAGATTGGAAAATATATCCAATTCATGTTTTTATCATTCTGAAGCCTGGCGTATTCCCATTTTTCAATATGAGTCAGTAAATAAGTCAACAAATATATAGTGATTGAGTGCCTGTTAAGTGCCTGTTAAGTCCTGAGCTATGCTCTGGAAATCAATATTTCGAACAGAACAGTGTCAATGGTTGCAATATGATCTGTTCTTATTTGACTCCATTTCCTTTCAGCCTCCAGCTCCCTGACAGACTTACCACACCTGTGGGCTTGTGCCCCTCTCAGCAAAAGAAACATAAGATGCTCCCTGATGGTGCTGGGAGGTGCCTCAATGTACAGGTGTTCTGGTTGTGATGCCTCATATCTGTGGTCAGGACAGCTTGTTGGGTCCTGTCTTGCCCAAATCCCTGGTTTCCAGCTCCTTGCCTAAGATCCAGCTCCCTGCGTGGCTAGACTTGCCTGACTACTCTCTTCTTACCTAACTTTTGACCCCTGCTATGGCTTGACCATCAGCTCTTAGATATCCCCTCAAATCTGGCTCAGTCAGGCCAAGCTGCTGATGCCCACCATAAATCCTTTCTTACATGTTGGACCTGGATTTCCAGTCTTTGACACACATGCCTCAAGCGAGAAGAAAGGAAGGACAAAATGATAAACAGGTATGCCAGTATAAGTGTACTTGCCTGTTGGAAACCTGAGAATTGTGTCTTATCAGATAAAAAAACCCTGAAAATATTCAATAAGAATATAAGTTGGTGGGGAAAAGTGAAGTGTTTTAAGATCTTTATACTAGCTGTAATGGACATAAATATATTGTGTAAGTTTAAAATTTTAGAAATTATATATGTTTCCATGTTGAGGATAAATATCAAAATAATAGAAATAGTATGACTCCCTAGCAGAAGGAAAACAAATAATAAAAATAGACAAACCCAAAAGATGGTAATAAAAGAAGCAAGGCAAATATATGCACAAAATAAAATTTTAACCCCCAAATATTACAAATTTAAAAAATGTAAATGGATTAAGTTCTCCAGAAAACAGATTTTCGAGCTATAGTAAATACATATACACATGACATCATATAAAAATAAATTAACATGGAGTACTCTATTGTATAAATACTCATATTCTTGTGTATATGCACTTATAAATAGGCACACATACATTCCTGTGTATAATATTTTCAAGAGACATGTCTAAAATGTAAAGATACAAAAAGGTGACATGTAAAAGGATGGAAAAAATATAGCCGGCAAATACTGATCAGTAGGCATCTTAGAAGAACACACTCATATAAAACAAAATACACTCTGAACATTATTAGAGATATAAATTCACAATGAAAATGTTTTAATTAACACAATTATTACAACTTGATATGTAAGAACATAAAATAAGCTTTGTAATATATGAGAAAAATTGACAGAATTATACAAGGTATGCTGTCCCCAAAAGGCAAATAAAGAATTGCATGAGGAAAAAAGCATAATAGAAGATTTTTATTCTATGAAATGCTTCATGAACTTGCATGTCATCTTTGTATAGGGACCGTGCTAATCTTCTCTGTGTTGTTCCAATTTTAGTATATGTGCTACTGAAGTGAACACAGAATAGGAGATTTTAATATACTTCTATCATAGATGTATCTTGCAGAATAAGAATCACAATGACACAAGATTTAAACCAGATAAAAAATCTGACTTATTGAATGGACATAGAACATTGTACCAAAAAATTACAGAAAACATTTCTTTCAGGCACACATAATATTTATAAAAGCCTATCATTTCTGGACTTTGAGTCAATCTCAATAAATTTTACTGGATTGAAATTGTATCAAGCATGACTTCTAATAAAACCAATTAAACAAGAAATTAACAAATAGAATATTCCCATAAAATGGCAAATTTGAACATACTTCTTAATAATCCAAGACGTGTGGACAGATAAACTATAGTGTTTATTAGGACATATTTTGAGTTAAGGAATCGTGACACTACTACTGAAAATGTGAGTCTGCTAGAGCTGGCTCATATCAGCTTGTAAGAGCTGACTGTTAAATATTCAGAAAACTTTCCAACTGGTTGTTAAATCATTTGTAGCTTGAAATTGGTCATGGTGGAGTATTTACAAGGCAGATATGAAGTTGACATGCTACAAATCAGGCCTTCTTTTTTCCTTTTAAGTTTTTTTACAGGCTTGTTACCACAAAACCGTGGAATGCAGTTAGAACATCAGATAGAGGGAAATGTATAGCCTCAAAGGCATGGATTGGAAAAAAGATGAGAAGTTTCAACTTCAAAATTAGGAAAAAAACAAAGCAATATAAATCCGAAGAATGTAGATTAAAAGAAACAAGATAAATTAATGAAATAGAAAAATATGATATAAAATAGAGAGTAAACAGAACCAAAACTTATTTCTTTAAATCTATGACTAAAATTGACAAACCTCTGGTGAAATTGACCAAGGTGAAGAAATATATAAATAATATTAGGAATGAAAAAGTGAACATTACTAGAGATACAGTACACATTAAGAAGATAATAGGATATATGAAAAACTTAATTGCCAGTATGTTTGAAAATAAATATGAAATATATACCTCCTTGGAAAAATGTAACTTACCAAAATCTTATTCATGAAGAAATAAGAATCCTGAATTGTTCTTTAATTATTAGAAAAAAATCTTATCTAGAACACTCTAGGCCCAGATGATTTTATCAGTAAGTTCTATAAATGTTTGAGGGAGAAATATTTCCAGTTTATACACATTTCTTCAGACAATAGGATAATAGGGCACATCATTATGTTTTATGTGTTTTATGAGGCTATATGTAATTTTGATTGTAACACTCAACAAAGACAAAATGAGAAAGAAAAATTAGAGCCCAATCTTATGCATGAATGTAATGTAAAATGTAAAGTACAATTAGTAAACTGAAATCAGGAATATATATTTTAAAAAATCATGACTAATTTGGGTTTTCTTAGGAATGCAAGATTAGTGTGACTTTGGAAAAGCAATTCCTGTAACTCACCACATTAGCAAAAAAAAGTAGGCCGGGTGCGGTGGCTCAAGCCTGTAATCCCAGCACTTTGGGAGGCCGAGACGGGCGGATCACGAGGAACACGGTGAAACCCCGTCACTGCTAAAAATACAAAAAAATTAGCTGGGCGCAGTGGTGGGCACCAGTAGTCCCAGCTACTCGGGAGGCTGAGGCAGGAGAATGACGTGAACTCGGGAGGCAGAGCTTGCAGTGAGCCAAGATCATGCCACTGCACTCCAGCCTGGGCAACAGAGCAAGACTCTGTCTCAAAAAAAAAAAAAAAAGAAAAAGAAAAAAAGAAAAAAAACAAAACAATGTGATTTTCACAGACTCAGGGAGATTACTTGGTAAAAGCCAACATTCATTCATAAAACTCTTCCCAAAATAGGAATAGAATAAAATGTTCTTAATATGACAAAAGGTATCTACTACAATCTTACTGCAAACATCACATTTAATGTTGAAACTTTGAGAATACTTTTGAAATTTGAAACAAGAATTCCCACTGTTGTTCCTTCTATTCAATTTTGTTCTGGAGTTCCTTGCTGGCTCAGTAAAATAACAAAAAGAAATAAAAGGTGTGAGAATTGAAAAGTGGGGAAGAGTAACTGCCACTATTCATAGATGAGATCTGTAGAAAATCCAAAGGAATTCATAGGAAAATTATTATAATTAATTTGAGAGTTTGACATGGTTCTAGCATTCACATTCAATACTCAAACAATAAATTTAATTCATATAATCAAGCACAAAATTGAAAATGAAATAAAAGTGCTACCATTTATAATAATAGCATAAAACAAGATGATATCCTTGGGAATAAAACTAACAAAATATTTCTGTTTAAGACTTCTCCCAAGAAAATTAAAAGTATTATTGAAACACTAAAAAGGAAAACAATAAGTAGATTGTATACTAAGTTTGTAATCAGAATAGTTGATTTTTATAAAAATGTCACTTGAATTCTAAGTTCCACACAAACCCAAACAAAACTTCATGAATTTGTAGTTTTTTCTTTAACTTGGCAGGCTGATTCTAAAATTTATATGAATATGCAAAAAGTTAGAATATCCAAGACACTCTTGAAGTAGAACTCACTCGCTGTATCATATATCAAGATTAGTGGGAAAAGCAAGGATTTTTCAACAAATTACTGGAGCAATTAGGTACCCACATGGAAAAAAAGTGTGATCTTTACCTCATACCATACTAGAAAAGTCAGTTTCAGTGGATTAAAGAATATAGGTGGAAGAAAAATCAATTACAAAAGATATGACATCAGAAAAAAAAAATAAACCACAGAGTTGGAGAAAATATTTTTAGCTTCTGTAACAGAGTAGTATCAGAAACATTTAATGAATTCCTCCAAATCACTAAGGGAAAAGCAAACTAATTTTCCCATTTTACCCAATGGGACAAATGACTGAAGGCTTAAACAGATGCTGTACAAAATGGAAATGCAAATGGAGCTGAAGATAAGATTAATCAGTAAATCAAATATAGTCATAAAAGGATTTCTTACATACTTACTCCATGGGCAAAGGCTAGGAAGGTCTTACCATGAAAAGGTAGTGGAAAATTGGAAGTTCTTCCACTGCTGGTGAGAGTATAAGTTGGTGCAACTACTTGGAAATCAGTTTGGCATTATTTAGTGTATTGCTTTTAAATATACACACCCAGAAATATAATCCTGGGTATACACCCTAGCAATTTGTGCATATATGTATCAATCAACCTTTACAAGAATGTTCATGGCAGCACTGTTTGTATTAACTCTAGCATTGATACAATCTAGATACCCATAAGCAGAATAGATGAATTATACTTTGTAGTATATTCACACAATGAAAAATAGTGTCCAGCAATAATAGTGCCCCAGCTCCACAGTACATGCAAGTCTCAAACACAATATCTAATGAAAGAAATTAGATTCAAATAATACAGAATGATTCCATTTATATACATTTCCAAAAGAGGGAACAAGACTTTAGAGTTGCATCATGAGTGGTAAAACCATAAAAAGCAAAGAAATGACAATCACAAAAGTCAATGTTGTAGTGACCTCTGAGAGGAAATGGTAAAGTAGCAGTCAGGAAGAGGACATATATGACCTATGGTGAAGGTTCCTTTTTGGCCTGGCTGGTGGACATGTGGGTGTCCTCTGTATTTTATTTATTTGTTAAGCTGCATGTGTGTTTTATGTACTTTTTTGCATATACCCCCATACATCATAACTTTGTTACACTAAAAAGATAGAGGAAGATTAAATTATCATCCCTGGTTGGCAGTGTCCCTCTGCTAATGGCTGTGGAAGATACTTTATCCACAGAAGTTGTGAGTAGCCTGGGTAAACTTTGAAGAATACATGGGGGAAAAAAAAAAAAAAAAAAAAAAAAAACCCAGAACAGTCCATCTGGGAGCCAAGGACACCAAGTCTTAAGACTTTTGGAGAGAAGGACTTGAGAAGGAATTTTCTGTTCATTGTTCCAGTTTCTCTTGTAACAAGTCTTGGCCCCAAGCAGTCACTTAACACACGTCAACTGAGCACCATTAGTGTGCCTGCGACCTGTGCTAGGCGCTGGGGATGCAGAATGCAATAATACTGACCCTTCAGAGTTTACCACCCATAGAAAAGATGGAGGAGGAAACCAATGATTACAGTAGGGTGCAGGCTAGTCTAAGGGCAGGGATGTTTTCCCAGAAGAGATGACACCTTAGCTCTGTTTTAGAGGACAATTGCCAGGCAGAGTAGTGAAGGACAGTCCAGGAGAATGGAACCACATGAGGATAAGAAATAGCAGGTGCATGCTAGAAACAACAGTTCTAGGTGCCTGGAGTGCTCTTTAGCATGTGCAGAGCTGACCTTTTATCCTATATTGAAGGATTATTGTTTGAACCTCGTCTATCCCTGGCATGCTGCAATGATGGGTTAATTAAATCTAGAAGGTCTTTACTGCTTTAAGAGCCACTGAGAATATTCCTGGAAGGATATTCTTAAAGGGTTCAAATTAGTATTAACACATTTTTACTGAGTGCCTACTATAAACCAAATGGGCGCTCAGCTGGCAGACATAGAAGGCAGGAAGTGGGGAAGTTAGATAAAAAGTATTTCTGGTGAGCCCATAAAATATAAAGGTGATAATACTTTACATTTATATGGCATTTTGCCATTTTAAAACTTTTCCACAAATATTTGGTTTAAGGAGGAGAGAGCTCTAAGGGTTTTGAGTAGGATTGACACATGCCATACACAGCAGTAGCGGGAGATCTCTGTCATGGACTGCTGACCCCCTAGTCCGGGATTTATTAACGGCTGACAGAGGAAGATGAGACACTCTGTTCTTTTTGTAGCATTACTAGGTGGACATTACTAGGAATAAAGTGGTTTAGCCTCTCAGGGCTGGATTTTCCCTTTGGTAGAATTGCTTTGACATCCTTAACAGAAAGGTTTTCATAATGGCCTGCTCAATAGAGTTGTTAGCAATAGAGCAACAGCAATAATAATAATCCTGTAAGTACAATCCAGGCTGAGGCAGTAGGAAAAAAGGCCATAGGAG